ACAGAGCTTTCGAGTCTTCAGATCACGAAACTAGAACTTTACAGAGTGATCCAACAACAATAATATTCGATAATATTCCAAAATTTATAAGCACATTTGACAGAATTGAAAAAAAATGTTATCAAATATGAGGAAATTAGTGAACAAATTTTTACTTCCCGGATATGTTTAAATCTCAATATATATAAACACGAAAGCGTTTTTCCCTTAATCCCAAGCAAATTGTAATCAATCTACTATTTATATTTCATTTCTTTATATATTCTTATATTCTCACTCGAGCTATAAGGAATTTTGCTAATTTCATCAAATTTCTAATCCTTTTTCTTCAACAAAATTTCTGTGTGCCTAGGGATAATACAGACACGTGACGTTTATTAAGCGATCACCCGAACTAAACGCGCCCGAGTGTAAATCTCTCGTGATCTAAACGGTAATGTTCTTACACGGCAAGGCAGTTGATGAGGTTGACACATACGATAGTTATTCATTTGGCATTAATAATTGTTCAAACGGTCTGTATCAAGTTACATTGTTATGTTATTACATTAAAGAAAGCCTCAAAGTGTTAAAGTGTTTTCTTCTAACAATTTTTATATTTATTCCATAATTGCTAAATGCAGTTCTTAAAAATACTCTATATATCTTATGTTTATCTCATATCTTGTATGTGTGTGTGTGTGTGTGTGTTTGTGTAATGCAAAATACGTGGGGTTTATTGCTTTTACAATTCAATATTGTAGAATATCTATATGAATTTTCAAACATTACCGTTGAATTGCCCTGTATAATAATCCGATAGGTTTTAACGATACGACCAGGAAATTGAAGCCATTATGCCATTGTTATCTCGCGTACGTCGTGTACGAATATCTCTTGACCTCGAACTTTTCGATCGAATAGCAACACACTCTTTGTGACACACCGCCTCGTACGTTAAAAGCAAAGTTAAATTACGCTCTTGGCGATAGGTGCGACGAGAAACTTCATTGTTATTGTAATTGATATTAGTAATTGGTTCGACACGTTTATCTGAATCTCGAGATTATCTAACTGAACGACAGGAATTCATTTCTCTATACTTGGCACAATATATCTCTAATTAATTAAATACTGAGAGGATTGAAAGATGTTGCGGATGATAAATAACTGTTTCCTTATATATCGAGAAGAAATCATTAGAATAGTTTACGTTTCACAAATTTAGCCGAACAGACAAAATAGTTAATATATTATTGCTGAGAAACAATAAATACAACAATAAATAAAGCATTAATGAAAAAGCACCGAGTACACAATTACCGAGCCTTGCGCTATATTAAAAACTGATCTACACGCATTCGTTTTGTCGTAAAAGACATCGTCGCGTGGCAACTTCATCTCTGCTTGCCACAGTTATTGAACGTTGCGAAAAGTCCTGACCCGGTTATAACCTCCATTGCTGGCGCTGATCGCGTTTTATTAAAATACCAAGTGCCGCGCTTTCGTGCAAAAAACCTATCTCCCCCCTTCCACTTTCTCTTTCTCTCTCTCTCTCTCTCTCTCTCTCATCACCATTCTTTCTTGTTACAGGTTGTTAACAGCATTTAAGAGGATTAATTTCGTTGCTAACCTAATTATGTAATAGTATCCTTCTTATATCTTGGCATTGCAATTCCGCCAGGAGCTAAGGCTGTCGTTCACTTTCGTTACAACTGCAATTAGCAGAGTGACGTCAAAAGACGTTATATCGATGTCATATTGACGTCGTTAATATGACGTCAGAGGATGTCACTCTCTTACTTGGGTGTCGTTTGGAATCGTACCAAATATAAGCATAATCGAAACACATCTCTACGATATTAAGTACGAGAAGGCGTCCGAAATATTCAATTTTATAATAAAATGTTTAAGTGACATTTATTCACTCGCGGACCGTAAAGGTTCTTAAATAATTAAACTTCTAATTAAAAAAAGAATACAGGAATTCTGTCAAAAATACCATTTCCTTTTTGCACACGATTCTTCGCATTAATTGCACAAAAGTTTTTACACGCAATAAAAGTATACTATTAAAATAGGAGCAAGGTTCAACTTATGACAAAGAAACATTTTTTATTTTTATCAATTTTTGGCTTGTCTAGCAACTCGTGGCAACAACAAATATTTATTTCATATAAAACGGTTTACGCAAACAGGATCTTTCTACCACAGGGGAAAAATCACTGCCAAAATCAATTTCCGTACGTGCATGCGCGCGACTAGGTAGATTAATTATATAACCATCTATACATATCACGCGTTGTTTCTTTCTTTTACTTATCGATATTTTTAGCTATTGCTCTTTAAAAGCCCTTTTCCGTTCTTATTATTACGCGTAATCTATCGCTCATGCTTATAAGGGGACAATGAAATCGGTTTTATCGAGAACTACGCGCGGCTCCGATTGAGGTCAACAATGGTGGCCAAGGTTATATTTTTGGTTTATTGTACCGCCAACTACACTTCATCGCGATTCATAAAATTTCGGTCGAAACCGAAGGAGATATTAATCTATGTCACACAAATGAATGGGTTTAACCCATCCATCTCCTACCACGCGGGCATCGCCGTCCCGCTTCCTTCTTCCCTGCCGTCGAATTGTGCGAACTATGACCTGTCACGCAAAGACGAGAGAATAGCTCTTACGTAACGACAGCGAAACGATGAATACGAGGAGGGTTGAGTTATCGGAAGGTGGCAAAAATAGGACTCGCGCAAACTATGCGAAACTTGGCAAAATGTTTGCAAAGAAGAAAATAAAAGAGACAATAGAAAAGAGCAGTTGAAGAAAGCATGCGTTACTAGAACATACAGAGTATAATTATCCGAAATTTCTTTCCAAAAAATTCTTCATTTTGATAAACTAACCGATATGCATTTTATCCATAGAAAGGCTAGATACTTGGAACAAAGCTGCTGTAAATAATTCATTCCAATGTCAAAACGGCTCATTTGCGAATATGGGTTTATCGACAAAAATTACTTTATAAGTACCCGAAGTTTGTCGGTCCAATATTGGGACGTTATCTTGCTGAATTACATATTGTCCAGTCGTATTAGATAACGGCCGAGCGAGAAAGACATTTGTTGTCGCGAACGCAATATAATTTGTAAGAGTTATATGTGTTCGCGCAATTTCAACCGTTTCTTGTTTTAAACGGGAACGAGAGAAGGATGATTGTGTAAATTATTCACTATTAGAATGAACATGTTTCGCACTACAAAATACCATTTTCGATACTTATGTAGCGGAAACTATAATAACGCAGAGTTCGTTGAACTCCGAGTGAACGGGAGCATCAGAAATCGCATATTCTTCTTCTATGTTCTAAAGTGATTTTTTCAAGGCTTATACTGTTCTCTGAATTAACTTATATACGCAAAAGTCTTGGAAACATTCAGGCTTATCTCATTCGTTTCACAAATAACCGCCTACTGTGGCCTCGCCGCCGGAAACGCCGCGTTTCGCGTTTGTACGACAAATTAACGGCTTGCTTAGACCACGGCACCCGGTAACCACGACCACGCCACATCGGGAAATCTCTCGGTTAACAACAGGCGGCTGTTAATTACACACTTAATGATCGCAAATCAGAATTAAGCATCTACCTCGCTCTGGAACGAGGTAATCGTTTCAGTCACGGGCCTCCTTCTGTTTAATCTATGTTACATCGACTACAAATCTATTAATAATTGTTTTTGTATGTTCCACAATTACGGTCCTTATCGACTTCCTTATCCTTTGACGGAAGAATAACATTCAAAACTTTTCAGCATTTAATATTGTGTTGAAGTATCACTGTAGTTTTGATAGTCTTAAAGGCGTTTCTTAAAGAACTTTTCAAGATATTTTAATATTGTCTTCGACTTCCTGAGAAAAGATATATCCGTTAAAAAGAAAGATCCCCGTTGATTCCCGTTGGACTATCCGCTAAAGCAACATTCTTTTTCACAGTATTAGCTTACTTACAAAATGACACAGCGCGATTATAGCGCGAGCGAAAATAAAGAGGTGTTTAATCGATTTTTAAAATAAAGAAAAAAAAAGATATTTTATCCATACAGTGCTCAAACATGTTATTCGATTCTACATTACATATGATTTTGTATATTAGTGCGACATAATAATATGTTTGTCGTGTTTTATTGAAAAGTTTGTCAAATTTAAATTTAATGGCATTTTATTATAATTGCAGAACAGCTGGATTGGTCATTCCGACTATCGATGATCAATTTTAATATACAATAACAGGCAACACGCACAAAGTGAAATGGGGAACGAAGAGAGATATGCGTGAGAGATATTTACACGTCAACCTTTAATTAACTATGCTTATTGGAAAACGAGCATTTCGTGTAGCATTCTCGACAGCCGCGCGCGGTCATTTATTAATTTGCAACGTGAATGCACGCGGACAAGCGACTTATAAAGATAAAGCGAAATTGACAAAATATATTCTCTTAAACAATTTATCTTGTCACGTATAATAGAAATGATTATCGTACGAAAAGAGAATCGATTTCAACGCTTCACCCAAAGGATCTCTTTTCGAGAGATTTAATTTTACATCCTCGTGGAATTCAGTTGCCAGCATTAAATTTTACGCATTGTCCCAATATTTTATCGAAACATTTCTCTTTTATCGATTAGGTTAAAGCAGAGCACTAAATTAACTAGACAATCATTTGTTTCATTCTTTTAACGTATTGATCATCGATCGATTTTTATTTAAATAGAAGCTTTCTCGTCAGAGTTCAATATCTATCCATTAACATGAGAAAAAATCCGTACTGATATCACGTCGCGGACTTTCGACACCCACCCGACGTGTCAACAACAGCGGCACGATGCGTGCGCAGCTGGCACAGACAATAGGTTTATCCTAATTTTGGCGTTCTAATTTTGCCGTCAGAATTTCATTTACGCAAGCTTTCGAGAACGTGAAATTAGTGGCTTATACATTCAACACAACGTGCCTGTCGATTTCTCAAGTACGATTCCTCTTTTTTTCAGCATCCTTCTTCTTTACCTACGGTGTTATCTCGAGCGTTATGAATTATATCGCAAATCAGTAGTGCAAAGATCTATCCGAATCTATCTGAAAGTTTTCGTAAAAAATGTTTGTTATAGATGAAATCGGAGGTGCGCGTCGACACGCAGGATAATTTAAAAGTGGTAAGACACCCAATTACTTCACCTACAAGTAGCAATGGACATTTCAAATATATTATTCCAAACCGAAATTTCTTTTTTCCCCAAATCTCGAATATGAGAAATATTAATTGTATTATTAAAGTAAATCTCTGAAATTGTATGTGGGTCAAATCGGCGCACAGTCCATCTTTTGTGCAAAATTCTAGAGAGAGTAGAATATCGTCTTTGAAATGGTTCGTGTAGATATATCTTGCGCATGAATGGCACGGAAAATGTTTACCGAACTTCCTCCCATATAAAAATGGCATTGAATGCGAGTGCTTTCAGATACTGCGATTGAAATGATTTCCGAACAACATCTGCCCCGTCCTGGAATTAACGTTAACAACGCTCTTGCGCGTGCGAGTAACGTCTAATATGAAATTTCAATACACTCGTATCTGTGTGAAAAGAAGAAAAACGGACCAATTTCAATCTCTACAATTTTCCATCTTCAGCTATATGTTTTCAGTTATCGATACAATTTGTATACATGTCTGAAATTGTGTGCGCGGATATTTCTCGACGATATGCTCTTAAATGCACGATATCCTTGCTAAAACAAAAACACTATTTATTCATCACTGCCGATACAACGTCGCTCCAAGGTCGCTCGTTTCTTGCATGCACTTGAATTGATCTTAAAGGAAATACTAGAGAAGGAGTGGATCTCAAATTTTGATGGAAAAATTAGCCATTTAAATATCGATAACTCAGTATGTCAAAAGAGAAAAAAAAAAGGACAGCGTGATGTGTCGGCGTTTGTCTAATTGAACTAACATTCCGCTTCTGATGTAATCGAAAAATTCACACATACATGGCGAAAATTTCCTTCGTTACAATTTTTCCACTGTGTAAGCTTTGAAACTCAATTCTGAAAAAGTGTTGTTGCAGAAAGAACATTGCTACACGTTGCGGAACTTGTAAATAGAATAATAAATACTGCCACATATAGACGCCACGTTGAGCTGAAAGCTGATGGAAAAATGGTATCATTGTGTCTTGGGTCCTTTATCGGCACTTTGATCGTATGAAATCCGTGTAATTAGTACAAAGGACAAACATTTGTTTGCGCTTACTCAAGACATATATAGGTTACATGAAATTTGTGTTACAGTGCAGCGGCCACGCGGTGCGATGCTTCGCCGGCGGACCGCGCAAGAGCAACGAGTCGCAGTGCCCGATGCTGCAAAAGGTGGAACGGCCGATTCTATCGACGGCGACGACGCCGTCGATGATGTCGACGCGACAAACCACGACGATCGTGCGTAATCACCTGAACAGCACGTGCAGCGTCACGAATTCGCCGCATCAGAAGAAGCTGCGCTTCAACCTTGCGAAGGAGAGGAAGGCCAGCACGACCCTGGGTATCATTATGAGCGCCTTCATCATCTGCTGGCTACCGTTCTTCGTGCTGGCGCTGGTACGGCCGTTCCTCACCGATCCGGATGCGATACCTGCCTTCATTACGAGCCTCTTCCTCTGGCTCGGCTATTGCAATAGTCTGCTGAACCCGATAATCTATGCCACCCTGAATCGCGACTTCCGCAAGCCGTTCCGCGAGATTCTTTATTTTCGTTGCGGCACCCTCAATCACATGATGCGCGAGGAGTTTTACCAGAGCCAATACGGCGACCCGGTCAACAATTACGAGATTAAAGCCGGCGAGAGTGCGGAGAGTGCGGACCGCTTCGATGATCATCGTGAGTCGATGGACGTCGCCGGCGCTGGCGCCGGCACTCCGAATGAGAGCTTCCTATGATCCGAGAAGAGACGTTCCTCGATTGGAGTCGAGGACCGTCGTCGTCGTCGTGATATTAACAGACGGAGACCACCGTCCTCCTGCTGTATCGAGCAACTTAACGTAGCGCCTAACGAGATCCTCCTGTGATTCTCCGACCGATTAACTCTTCCATTAACACCATTATCGTTCCCAGTGGACGCAGAACGTTTTTGATCTTAATAAGCCAAACTATCCGACCAATCGTTCTAAATTGCAAGTGCTAGTGTAACGAGATCAAAGTTACCGCTCGTCGATAGTAAACTCGCTTCTTCTTAATTCTATCTATCGTAACGTATGTATGTGTTGAGGAAAATATTTATTTTCCCAATTTGACGTACCAATTCGACACACACACACACGAAGAGAGGATCTTGTTGCGATTTTAAGGAAGATAAATCACGATGAGAAATTGTTACGTCATACTCTTTAAGAAAAGAGATCAACCATCATCGAAAGATTCACGAAAAGTTTTCATGCAAACGTCCCATATAGATTTCACCGGAAACATATCAATTTGTAAAGAAAGAAGAAACGTCGTGGGCGCAGTAGAGCGAAGCTAACGACCCGATAAATCGGCGTAGTTCATTGACTCGTCGCGCAACTTTGACAGACAAACGGCCGCACAAACAACAGTCGTTGCACAGGACAATCAGAGGAGAGCGGGACGTGTTTCCCGCAATTTTATTCTCCACGGAGGCGCCGACGAGATTGAATTTTCTACATCGCACTGTGACGTCGATAGCCGGAGAACTTGGTCAGAACAAAACGGGAGAGATGTTACGCTCTGTACAGAGTGTGTCTGATGATTACCGTACCAACTATTGTACAAAGACACGGTCTCAAGAAAGATCGAATTTGTTGAATAGCAACGGCGAGTGAGACATCCCTCCCTTCGTACAGAGTTTCCCATTCATTCTTTAATTAATCATAACTATTGTAAAGTTTTTATTGCGTTCCACCTACATCGGTACGATAATTGTCAGATACATTGTATGAGAAATTTTGTTCCCGAAAAAATCTCTCGAGAACAAAAAAGATCTTCTTTTATATCAAATTATTCATTTCGAAATAATCACTCCTTCGTTGATACACTATTACGGTACGTTGCATATCATTGTCCAGCGAAGCACGACGAAGAAACTCGCATTAAAAATTTACTGATCGATGCTGTGTTCTTCTGCGAGAAGCTCGTTTTACGCAGTCAATTCAACCGCGCTAAATTAAAGAGAAGGGTATAAAATTGCTTGTCATTATGACACAACGAAGTCAGCCGCGCAAAATCATTAATGCATCTCGATTCTTTCTTCGTGTGGTTGCGAATAAAGAGAAGAATGTATTTTTCGCATTTTATAGTTAGAATAAAAAGCATATTAATAAATTGTTTTTTATAGTACATGGTGTCTCATAATGATCGCCTCTTAGAAGCACGACGTTCCTAAATCAAAAGTTTCTTTTGCAAAGATTTGACTAAATCCTATCGTTATTACTCAAATCACTGTGTAACCTTTCAGAGAAATTATTTATGCTTTCTCCTAAAAAGATTTTTATTGCTCAGTTGGAACACAATAAAAAAAAATATCAAGTTTTCACTTAAATATTAATAGATTTCTTAATCAAAGAGGAGGCGCACTAGATTGTAAGAAAGATCAATTCTGCTTAAAAAATACGAACCAAGTTTGTTTTTGCAACATAATCATTTTCGTCGCAAATATGTGCTCTTATGCGATAGACAGAACACGGATTCCTTCGAAAACATTGATCCAAGTTATAGACACGAGGTGCCGAAGCGCGCCGCTCGAGATGCATTATATGAAGTACCGAGGTACCTCGCAGAAGCATGCACCGTAACCAATAAACGCAAGGAACGCGCGCACGTAAGTGTAGGTAGGTGTGTGTGTGTGTGTGTATGTGTGGATGGATGTCAGGTCTTGCCTCGATATCGCTTAGAGAGTATTGCGTGCGGCAGCAATGAAATTTGCAAGACATTAGGTGTAGTTAGAGCTAGTTTGATTTTGATTGGAGTCAAATCAACGTGAAATCAACGCAAAATCTCACGTTGAACGTCTCGAGCTTGGCTTCCGCGAGCAAAGTCGAGTCGACTCACGATCGTGCGGCACGCGAATACACATCGCGATAATCGCGCCAGAGAGCATCGAGATAAGCCAATGCCGGCAAAAATAAATGGTTGAAATAAAAGTGATAGTTATTACATATTTTCCCAATTGAGGAAAAAATCTTGAATTAAAATACTATTCTCGAGAGAGTAATTATTCAAGCCTAATTTGTAGATGATCTATACGTATCGTGTCAGTGAACTTGAGCAAATCATAATCAAACAAGAATCTTTCTTATTCATAAAATACTATTAAGTACTGTTTTCAATTAAATACTATTTTACCGACAGATCGACGATAACGCCGACTACTCGTAATGTCTTATAAATTTTGTCTATACATGTTGCCCGTTTCTTCTATGATGAAACAGAATTGCTTTTTTTTTATATACTCAGCGAGAAATCGAAACAATTACATCGACGTTTTCGATATTCATTTCTCACTAGCTAGTGAAATTGGATTAATTTAACCGGAGCTCGGAAGAAGCGAATAATGATTCTCGAAAAATAGAAAATATTAGACGAGCAATATAAAATGAGAGACAGTCATGTCTTATTTTTACGTCAATTTAACCGCAAAATGAATATTTCCTTTCAAAAATATATGTTGGATATTATTTGCTCATTGCATATTATCGAGGGAAATATTTAATTGCATATTTTTCTACAGCGCTACATCCTCAATATTTCTATTAAGAAAATACCGGAGTGATCGTCGAACTCTGGTTTAAACGGAACTAAAAATGTCGATAACTAAGATGAATACGTTAAAAGAAAGACAGCGGTGGTGTACGTTGGTCCAGTTGACTTAGCTCTTTGCTTTGCCGTTAGTGGAAAATGCATACATATAAAGATTAGATTTTTATTTTCGCTACTCTTCTACCGTAGGCTTCAAAAATTTCCGATTCCAAAATTTCCACATTATTCTTTTATATTATCCACATGACAGAAAGATCTCATTACGTACATGCATGAACTGCTGAACTCTTGTACATATTGTTACACGAATTTTAATAATTCTAGTTATAATAATTCGCCATATTAAGCCAAAAGCTGAAAAATAAACTTTTTTTTTTCATTACAAATTGCCTCTATTTATCAACGCATTTATTTATTTTACGCTTTTTTTTTGTATAAAAGCTTTTGCAACTAATATACATAAAATAATGCGCAGAAAGGAAATGGCATTCAATCAGTGACGTAGACAATTCTAACATGTCTTCTCTGATAGAATGTTTCGAATTTTTTCTCGGTATACCACAAGTGAATACTGGTATATCGTAGAAAAAGTGAAAAATAAAAATGATTTCGACGACGGAACAAAATATAGTTGCGAAAATATTGTTCTTTTCTCTATAGAAAAGCTTGAAATCTTTCGAGATATATATATATATATATATATACGCTCGACAGAGTAACATATACACGCGAGAAACGTGTATACCTGTTGTACTATTTGCTCCACACGCAGCAATGTTCCGCTATATGGAAAGGAACACATAAATATATAAATACTTGGTGCTACAGCAAATCTTTCCAACTAACGGCAATAGATACCTACGCAAACAAAAAGATAATTTTAATCGTGAAGAAAAAATACATGTTCCAATTGTGAAAATACATTTCATACATTTTACTTACACACACGCGCGCGCATATAAGTCATGTGTCATTTCTCGATCACGTGAGGATTTATCACTAGCTAGACAATCTTAAATGTCTCCCAAACGACCTATATTTATATGTAACGTGAATCAAAAATATATTAAAAAGATATCGGAATGTGTTGAAGGACCTGTTATCGTAACTTTAAAAAATCTACGTCGGTGGAACCCTTAATTTTTCAACAACCCGAAGCTTATTTTTGCACATCACTATTGAATTTATATTAGAATCTGGCATATTTAACAGAAATGTTAATAGGCGGAGGAAAGCGAGTAAAATATTTCCAATATATAATACCGAATGTTCCTCATTACTCGTTACATTTTTGGACCAAAAACGCGAATGGAAAAACACGGCGAAAATACATCGAGCAAGAAGTTTTAATATGCTTAAGGGATCGACCGACGAAAAGCGAAAGTACGTGAGTTCTTACGTATATCCGTGCGTTATGCAAACAGGGAAAGAACAATTTATTTATTCATTAAAACGAAATGTTCGATGTACATAATCCATAATGTCGTAGCAACATCGTCTGATTGAAGAAAAACTTGTATCCTACAATCAGCGAACGTGTTACAGTAAAGAGAATTTGATGGACGTAGAGCAGACGTAAGGCGTTGTTTTTTCTTGTGAAAATTTGATATGCGACAAAGATGTCACACACCACACACACACACACACACACACACACACACACACACACAATAACGTGGTACAATGCAACATCATCGATGTCATAGCCAATACGATGTTTAAGAATAAATGTATAGATATACATTAATACCATGTTGAACGGCAGAGCGAGAGTCTAGTGAAACCAACGGTCATATTCTCAATAACAACTTACCGCAGTAAGCTGTAGAAGGAAAAATAATCACTTGTGTGCAGTATCGTTCAGAAAACATTTGTACAGCGGTTGAGTAATTCACCAACGTATTGGTTTAAATTTAGGGATCTAACAGTCAAGAACAATAATCGCTGATCGCTCGCTCGCTTTGTTCCGCTGAACGCGGCTATTGTGTTGATCGAAGAGTTTATTTCAAAATCGAAACGATTCTCGAGAGAGAACCTAAGGTCCGTATTCGTATATAAATTAGTTAGCCAGATCTAGTACTGGTAATTAGGTATATGATTCTAATCATTTTCTATTAAAACGAATAGTTTAACATCAGACGAGTAGTAAAAGATGAGTAGTAAATTTCTAAAATATCGACTACCAGACGTCTTTCAAATATTTAAATTGCTCCGGAAAGAACAAATAAATTCACAAAATGTTTGAAAGGCATCTTAAAGATTTAGAAGGTGTTTCAGAAGTATTTTCAATTAAGAGGAAAAATTTGAAATTTTGATGTGAAAGATTTCCAACTTAAAAAGTGCGCCTTTCTTAAGTTTATGTTTTAGCGCTTGTTTGTTTTCACAGTTTTGTAATATTTACGTTGCGGTAGCCATTTATATATATAATAAATAGATCTCTTATCGATTATAAATTTGCGAAATTGGAACATAAGTACATAAGGAACATACATAAAACTCTGTTTAGCGTTAAATATGCGCTGAGAATACGGACCGATGTATGAATGCATCACAGTATTATGTTATTTAGATACTCATCTTGTAGCAACTCGAAATTCTCTAGTAAACATTTCATGCGTGTAAGCATAGAAAAGAGCGAAACTTGTTTTTCTTTTCTAACAATTTATTAGAGAGAAGGCGGTATTATTATAGCCCCTCCATTTACATGTTGTATAATAACTTTGCCAATAATCAATATTTTATATTGAAACTTAACGTTTATATTCGTCAATCGATTGTAGATTCAAAGTTATGCAATTTTTTTTACTTAGGATGTTGTTTATAAAAATGTAACGATATTGCACAATGGGTCGAACCGGAGTGTGGCCCCACTAAAAAGTTGGTTTTGTTATTAAAAAAAAAAAAAAAAAAAAAAAAA